TTGAGGTTATTATTTTCTGCAATAAAATTTTCTTTTTCATTATTTAAAATTTTAATTTGATCATATGCTGCTTAACTCTTGTTCCAATTTTTTAGTATAAGTAGATGTTGAAGAAAGAGATGATGATGAAGGTGAATATAATGGCAAAGAAAGTTCATGGATTTTTTTTCTTGTATTCATTTATTATGTCAACATATTCCAGTCGTTGAGATAAAGAATCAGCCAAATTTTTTTTTGTCTGTGACAGTTCTGATAAAAGATCTAGATCTGGCAGGGATACCTGAATTCCAATGTCATGGACCTTTGGCTCAAGAAATGGTTGAGACAAATTATCATTCTTTTGTTTTTTATATTGACCATATTCCATAAAAGTAAAGTCACCTGCTTGTAATGTTTGAAGAAGAGAGTTACTAGCAACAATTTGATTGTAATGTCTTTCACAGAGGGAGTAGTCTTCTAAAGAATTAGATAATGAAAATAATTCAGGAAAATACTTGGTAAAAAGTTGTACATGTTCCAATACTGCCTTTCCTGATGCTTGTCTCCAAGATTGATTCACATAATTTCAACTGGTGACTCTTTCAACATGTTCATGCACAAAATTCTTTGTGGTGAAGATTGATAGATTTCTGACAGCTTTGAAAAATTCTGGAAATTACTAAGAATTGCCAATTGCATGTAATAATGTAAACAAAAAAGTTTTTTTTTGTGATGAATTTATTGAAAAGATTAGTAATAATAATAGCCAAAGTAACCTATTAATCAATCAATTTATAGTCCTGGCAGTATAAATTTAACAATAATAATATTACAAATATTTCCCATGTCACAACATTATTAGAACATATGAATTCTGTAAATTGTGAGACAGAAAAATTGGAAAATTCAATAATTTTCATGATTTCATGAAGGTTGTATATTTTTATCAAAAAATGGCATTCCTTTAAGAAAACTTCCATTTCATGTATAATTAGTAAATTAAGTGAAATTGATATTACAATATTTTAATTAGTATAATTTTGAAATAAATTCAAAAGAAATTTTGGACGCAAACTTTTGTCCACTGAGTGTAATTCAAGTAAGCTGAATAAAATGAAGATTTCAACAATCCAAATAAAAGCAATAATTGAATAATTAAACAAATGATTTGAATCAATGGATCAAACAAATCATTTGGATCAACAATTCAAATTAAGAGCCATTCAGATAAGTGGACTAGTCCTGGGACTGTTAGTCCTGTCTTGAGACTGGATTGTCTTAAGTCCTTAGAAAAAAGTCCAGGCTTTTTTTAAACAAATCAAAATATTATATTTGTAAAAGTTATTTATTAGAAACAATTTGGAGTCAATTATCCCTCGAAATTGCGTCAATTGTGATTCATAAATTACAAAAAAAGGTCCTTTCCTGCAGTCTCACCACAACCTTTCTTATTTGATAAATGTTATTCAAACACCTTATTTCCATTAAAAAAAATTCGTTGGGGGTTGTATATCACAAATAAAGATATAATATGTGTAAAACGTAAA